AAAACTCTGAAAAGTCTGGTGACATTGAATGAGCCATCCTCGGTGGCAAGAACAGCAGGCTGGAGCTCACGAAGATCCCCCACCACACCCCACCCTCCTGAATGAACACCTCCTCTCCAGTTTCCCACAACCCAGACCCAGCCGCCGTGTTCAGTTAGTTGCTTGCTTATCTGTGTAGGAACCGAGTCCACGGTCTAGAAGGACTTGGGCACCCAGAGTGGGGAGAAAAAGCTCACTGTGGAGGACTGGAGAAACGTGGACCCTCCTGCTTATGGTCAGGGGCAGCAGGTACATCTGTAGGAGAGGCCTTGCCGCCTGGATAAGCCGAGCAAGGGTGTCTCTCCTCCCCAGCTGTGAGGCACTCTGAGTCCCAGGAGCGTTCACGTTGGCTTCACAACATTGCAGACTCGCCCCTATACAATTCGCTCCGCAGTGTAACCCCTAACAGAGAGGCCCCGAGCCCAGAGCCCCAGGATGGTCAGCAGAGCTGAGGTAGATGCTTATTCTTACACATTTCTCCTGTGTTTTCCTTTCAGTCACATCTGTGTTTTGTTTTCACTCATTTCCACTGTCTCCCAACACACCATGTTTAGTGACGTGTTTGAGACAGACTGAGAGATGCCACTGGAGGCAATGTTTCATAGCACAGTTTGTACACTAGTTTATTGCCAAATTAAAATAAAGATGTAATCTGGCACACTTGGCCTGCTGCTAAGCCTTCCTTGGGTGGTTTCCTGTACTGAGGCAACAATGTGGGGGGAAAACAAGGAAGGAAGCGGAAGCTCTGTACCTCTGTTCTCCTGGCTGCTTGGTTTCCAAATGCCAAGAAACAAAAGGAAGGAGCAGAATGTTTGGTTTGCCAACTGCTTAATTACAGAAATAACAAAACTAAATAATGGAGAGTGAGATGTTGGGGATCCTGGTATAAATGCTGTGGAATTCTTCACGGCATCCACAGTGATTCACTGCTGTTTTGTAAGAAGCTTAAAAGGTGTGACTGTACATAACAGGTATCCCTCTGCCCATTTGGCATGAAGTTTCCATAATGTCTATAATGCTTATTTTTCTGAAAATTCCAGGGCTTTCCAAAGGCACATCCTCACATAGACCCTTCAGAGGCCAAGGAGTCTATCGCCTGTGTCTATACCATGGAAGTCCCCCAACAGGGCTTTTAAAGAAGTCAAGCTACTTCTTTTAGAGCTTCAAAGGGAAAAAGGTCCCAAATCTCTTCAGTCATTCTAGTGGTGGCTGGAGAGTCGCATGCTCATTCAAAAAAATTTTACCTCTTGGCAATCACCTACATCTTTAATATCACAGGTAGATTTCTCTAAGAAAAAATAAGAAAAACGGCTAAAATATCAAAATAACCTAATCTTATGAATTTTGAGAGCATTTGGTCATACACATTTCTCCCTGATTAAAAGCATTTTTTTTTTTTTTTTTAATCTGGCTTCCTATGGAACGATGGCCAGTAAAACTCTGTCTTGGGCCAGAAAGCACAATCTGTTCAACCAAACTCTTTTGAGTCCCTTAAAATGCTCACATCAAAAAGCCTCTACTGAGAGTCCAGACACTCGAAATGAAACGCAGCTGGAGCAGAACGCCATGGACCACATGGGCTCTTTCCTGCAAGCCAGGGATCCAGACGTTGTCTTCAGGGCCCTCAGAGTCTCATTCACTAAAGGTGAGAGAAAGCAGTGGCGGGGAAATAAGGGAAAAGTAAAGGTGGCTATGTATTCAAAAGGGGAGTGTATGCCTCAAAAGACTGACAGCAAACAAGGGAAGAGAGGAGAGGAGGACAGTGCACAGGTGAGTGCTGACGGAGCTGCCACCTCAACGCAATAACTTCTAAGAGACGGTGCTGTCTACCTGAGGATTCTGTTCACCACAGGCTGGTTGAAAACAGCATCTGGCAAAGGGAATCCTAGCACCAAAGCTACCTACCATCTTTGCTGAGAGTTCTGCAACAGTAGCAACTGTCACAGACATATTGATGAACAACACTTACGTGAAAAAATAAGTGTTCCCGCTTCCAAAAGTCACTGGCCTGCCAACACTAGCACAGGGCCCTCCTTAGGGCCCACGGCTGCATCTCATCAGGGTTCAAAGCTCCGTGATTCGCGGGTGATTGCCAGCTATTATTTCCATACCACTGACCTGCCTGAGTGGCCACAGACCTTCTCCACTTGACTTCGGGCCAACACCACCAGCTAATGGCTCATTGGATGGCTGCAGCCCACTCCACTCCCCGCTACTGCCCCACTCCTCATGCTGTGATTCAAGCCCTGATACATGGAGCCCTTCCCCAACCCCTACTCATATTAGCAGGTGATCTATAATTCTTTTTCCCCAGGATGATTTCTCCTTCATTCTCTTCTGGAGAAACAGAGAGCTTAGCAGAAAGGCTGGCTTCTGCCCCTTTGCTCATCTCCCGATATCCCCATCCATTTAGTAGTGAACCCTACTAAATATCATATTCAAATTCCAATTGCTGAACTTAGACATGTGACACCAATGAGTGGTTTTCCCCTTTGGGAAAATTCACTAACGTCTAAGATTTTTGGCTTGTTAGCTACATACAGAGCAAAGACTGTTAAGGCTTCTTCTACCTCTAAAACGATAGAATTCATTTGGTCTATGGTCACAAAAGATACTTTTCGGTCCCGACCAAGCCTGCTGTGACACCATCCTAACTGGTCTTCTCGGTTTTGACCTCACAGCACCACAGTTCATTCTAATATTACTACCAGATTAATCTTTGTAATCTATAGCTCTGAACACATAATTCCACTGACCAAAATGTTCAAAAGGCTCCTAATTGGGAAAACAAAAATTATTTTGCCCAACAGTCAAAGTGGTCCAAAAAAAAATTAAGATTAGGTTCCAGGAGTACATGTATAATTAACTTGCCCAAATTTCAGTTTCAGCCAAATAGACACATTCACAATCCTGTTTACATGAGTTTTCTAACTTTACAAATTTATATTATTGTTTATGACCTCCCTCTAGGGCAAAACGCGCCCCCTCCAACCCCCACAGAAATACGACAGTCATTAAAGTCCAGGTGAAATCATTTTATAAGATCTCCACCTCCTAAACTTGGGCTGCCAATTTCATATAATCCATCCAGCTACTCTGACTGGGTATCTACCATGTGTGAATGAAGAATCTATCTGCCTTTTTAGTCCCTCTTAGACTACTGAACTCACATGCATTTATATTCTTTCCCTAGATGGAATGAATACTCCTCGATATAGTTATTTTATACCAACAGTGCATCATGCCGAGCACATAAACAGACATGGAGTCTAATATTTGTGGGGTTTTTTTTGTTCTTTTCAATCTCATTGGAAGTGCACCTGCAATTATAACTATCCACACAAACACATTTTAAGGCAAAGAAAGCCAACCCCAAGTACCAATTCCCATACATGGCTGAGTCGGAGCCACATGTCCCAACTCCTCCAGAGTTATCCACTCTGCCACAGTGCTCATGGCATCACTGTCTGAAGTACTGGCACATGAAGGGTTAAATTTTGGGGCATCTCCTCTGACACAACTGCAAAGGTGCATAGTTTTCATTTAGCCAGGTAAATCTGGCCCTCAGTGTGCCTCTGGCATCAGGGGGAAAATTAACCAACTGTCAAATAAAATACAAAAACCCAGTGGATTAAATGACTAATACTCTTGCGTCCTGAGCTGCTCAGCTTTGCCTCTGGTAACTGCACCATCCTGGACTAGATGCACTGTGGCTTGACTCCAGGAATGAAATTGTACATTCTGCTGAAAGGGGAGCCAGGCTGCTCGAGAGGAAAAAAATACTAATTGTAAGTCTTTCCTATTTTTAGGCTAATGTGCATTTTATTTGGCAGTAAGGGCAGGTGCGAATAAAACTCCAATCCTGAGAATTTTAATTTGCTTCCTCAAAAATGCTCATGTCAGTAGAGACCCTGAAAAGTTGTTTATACTATTCCCCTCCCTTCAGGAAGAACCCCATACGTCTATACCAGCTCAGACGGTTTTAACCCTAGAATATTCTCCTCACTCAGGAAAGTCTAGTAGTTCTTTAAATGTATGTAATTTGTAACATATAATTGCTCTGAGGGTAATTCTCAGGATGACCTCACTGAACCATGCATTTCACAAAGAGCATTCAAACATTTTACCTATTTCCCTTTTGCCTTTTATGGCTACAGCCTCTCTCACATTTGCCTTTGTATACTTTTTGCCTCTAATTCTAATCCGATTGTATTTACTGTTGCTAGCCTTATACTCTACCTGAAATGTAAGTTCCTTAAAAGCTGGAGCTACATGTATTTTATAATGTATCTGCAGTACAGAGTACATGATATATTTTATAGCATTTATCCCATAAAATACATATACATATTGCGTGTGCACGCACACACATATATACACACAGATAAACATATGATAGCATAACTTCATTCAATGCCTTCCTAAAACGTAGACCTATCCTTCAGCCTAGCCACCAAGAGAAGAAAAGTCCTGAGATTGCCTGATTCTGAATGTTATCTATGTTATCTATGTTATCTATGTTATCATTTCTCTCACTATTTTAGCATATCACTAGCTAATGTTCTTCACTCTTTCAGGGTCATCCTTCCCTTGAAGCCTCTGAGAAAAGCTATGGGTTCTTAATTCCAAAAAAAAAAAAAATGATCACATCTCACATACACAAAGCACTGTCTCAAATTCCATGGGGGTTTCCTGATGGCCTGAAGCTTCCAGGTAAGAACTGCTCCTCCACAATGTCTCCCTTAGGGTCTAGCTTTTCCTTTGTGTGCTGTTTCAGATGCTTACAAAGCTCAAACAAGCAACCTGAGATCCACATTGCTGCCCCTCGCCCCACCGGCACAGGGTTCAAGCTGCTGCACAGAACAACCTGACAGCTGAGAAGAAACGTAGCGATGACTAAGTAGTTGTCTTTCCCTAGGACAACCGTGCACCACAGTCTCGAACAAGGGGATCACGCTCACCTTTTGGTCTTGGCTGTAAGCCAGAATCCAGTCCTCTTGCTTGGGGTGGAAAAGTAAGCTCTGGATGTAGAAGTTCAGCCGGTACTTTTGATAGGTTGCCCCTTCGTCCGAGCTGATCAGTAAACTGCTCTCAATCTCCGGGTCTGTGAGCAACATAATCTGCGGCAGAGAATTGTTCAGGGAAGAAAAGAACAGAAAGTTAAGTGTGCAAATTTACGAGGCTTAAAAATGAGCTAAATGTTTGACAAGGGAGGGAAAAGGAACAGGCAAAGAACGCTTGGCCAAACAAGGACCTTGACTCTGTCAGGTTTGCTCTCCTACCTTGGACCAAGGCCATGAAACTGTTTTCACCAAGAAATGAAAGAGGCGGGACAGACTGAAAGGAAGGAGGAGGAAATGTAGGAGTGCATTTTCTTCCCTCCTGTAGGGCTCCTTGGTTTTTTTCCCCAAGGTTATTTCCTTAATCTGAAATATTTCCCATTGTTCCCCTAACCCCAGCCCTCCTTCCTGCTGAGCCTTGTCTAGTCTCCATTTTGGGGGGATGAAACTTGTCATAGTCTTTTGTGAGAAAGGTGGAATGAAGTAGAAAGAGGATGGAGTCCACTGGTTTTTCTCTCCATCGCAAACCCTCCCGTTCACATCAATGATATCCCACGTCATCCTGCCTTTAGTCTGATTTTCTGAGTCTTGAGTCAAAGACTGTGCATTCGAAAGCCTGCTCTGGGTATTGTCCAAAGGCTCCTTTACCACCTGCTAACATATTAATAGTTTACTTAGTTATTTTCTTTATTGTCTATATATTCTCTCTAGAACACAAACCCATGAGAATAGTGATATTTCTCTATTTTTATCCCCACAAGTGCCTTCCCAGCAGCTAGAATGAGGTCCAGCATATATTATATATTCAATAAATATTTGACATGAATGAACGAAAGTTAAAGGGATGAATGGAAACTTTTTCAGAGTAGTCACATAGATCTAGAAAGATGCCCAGAGTAATTTGAGCAGATATGAATGTAAGTTCCATGGAAAAAGTCATTGGATGCCCTTCTCCATCTTTGGCCTATTGACAAAAGAATATGCTATACTCATGTAAAAATTCACAGCTCCAGAGGCTTGGGACTTTCTCCTTTTGAGGGTTAACCTTGGCCATAGCAGTGTGAACAATCCACAACAGGAGCAAGACAGAGGAGCTGCTCTGAAAACAGCTTTTTACTCTCTTGTTTCACGCCTCTAGGAATATGTGATAAAGCACCTCATTCCCGACTCTGCAGGTTGCCTTTCACTCAGTCAAAGTGCACACCTTATGCCTCCAGTCAGGTGGCCTTAATGCTGCCCACTGACTTCTTCCCCAACAGCTTATTCATTGGCACTTTCTGAGTTTGGTTTGGAGAAGCATGAAAGATGTGCTTAATGTGTGGCCGTATGAAGAGAGATCACTGCAGCCCAGGGTTTAAAGATTACCAGCTAAGGATGTGGCGGTTCCAGGAAAAGGAGAGAGAGAGAGAAAGGAAGAAAAAAAAAAAAAAAAAAAACTACAGCCCTGTCGTAAGAGAACAGAGTGCCAGGCAAACGCACAGGGCTTTCTCAGGCATTTGGAGGCAATCATATTAAAACCTCAGGACAGTTAGTGTCATATTCCAAAGTGGTGTCCGATCACGGCAAATGGCACACAACGATCTCACACCAGACACGCTCAGCCTGAACTGTGTTTATGTTACCCAGGATGAATTTCAGGTTCCTCGCTGTTCTTTCACCCTGCCCTTCTCGAAGAGGAGAAAGGGACGGATGAAGTGGAGTGAGTGGAATGCTGTGGCTGTCAGCTCTGTTCCGGACAAGACGAAGAGCACACACAATACTGGAGACTAATTGCCTCCCCTCCCATGTTCTGGTGAAGCCACTGTCCATCGACCATAAATTCTGACAAAGTAATAGGTCTCTCTGTCTTGTAGTCACCAAGCAGACAGTGTTCCCTTTCCGGATAACTGATGCAGAACCATCAGGTAATCTGCTGAGTACAAACTTCCGTGTCATCATTAAAGTCTACTGTATGTACTAAGTAAGCAAGGACGATCAGATGGCTCCTAAATTCCCAAGAATATTTCCAGGGGATTTCATATTTACTGGCACACAAAAGCTGTCATTTTCCAAAAACAAATAAGTCATCAAATGATCATATTGCTTTGTGTCTCCAACCACAATTAACAATAATATATAACAGTCTTTTGCACTACTGCCAGCAAGTAATTTCTATGATAATATGAAGAGGCTCAATTTTATAAAGCATCTATTATCTCAGGCAAGGTGATTTTCCCCACTCCCCTGCTTTCCTATTTCCCTGTAAACCAGAATATGTTTACTCTCTTCCCACAAGTGCGGATCTCACCACCTGCTTCTCCTGGCAGACTACTTCATCAAAATAAAAACCCTGGGCCTACAGAATATCATCAAATCAAGTTGATTATTTATCATTTATTTAAAATACTTCTGATACTCATTTATACTCTGAGTCAACAAACTGTATGAGATATTCTGCATCTAAGTACTATTGGATGGGGGAGGTAGAATGATACAAATATTTTCGAACATATGGTTATTTAACATTAAGTAAATAAAACTCCTGGCTTCCTCAGTCTTTTCTTCTGGGTACTAAAAATATGTAGACCAAAATCTCACCATTTCTTTACAGTCTTCACCTAAAACCTTCTATTTGGGAATTTGACATTTTGGAAATTATAGAAGATGTCAGGATATTCCCCCCTGTAAGATTTACAGATGTATCTGTATTAGACAAACCTTCCAGTGGTTCCTCTTTCAAATCTCTGCTCCAATCCACTCAAAACAAACAGGTCAGTCTGGATCCATTTTTGTTTAGCCATTTTTTATTGCAAAAACAACTCTGTAAGACTGCCAGTAGAATTCAAAATAAAAGAAAAATAGGGACTTCCCTGGTGGCACAGTGGTTAAGAATCCGCCTGCCAATGCAGGGGACATGCCATGACCCCTGGTCCGGGAAGATCCCACATGCTGCGGAGCAACTAAGCCTGTGCGCCACAACTTCTGAGCCTGCGCGCCACAACTACTGAGCCCACAAGCCACAACTACTGAAGCCCACGCACTTAGAGCTCGTGCTCCACAACAAGAGAAGCCACCGCAATGAGAAGCCCACGCACCACAATGAAGAGTCGCCCTGCTCACCGCAACTAGAGAAAGCCTGTGCGCAGCAATGAAGACCCAACGCAGCCATAAATAAACAAACTTACAAAGAAAAATAAATTGACCCTATCCCATCAACAAGTGAAACCATGTTTGTGCCCCCTTCTACTCCTTTATCCACAGCTACATATCATATCATGGATTGAGTTTTTGCTTGTTTTTTTTTCATTTAATATTATGGCCTATATTCATTTCCACCTGAACTGTAAACACACAAATGCATACACACACATTAATACACACCACTGTATACAATGTATTTCAATTGCTTAATCACAAGCTCCAACACAGTTAGGTTACAACTGGTTCAGTGGTTGAACCATAGTAAGTGCTTAATGAACTATTAACTGGATTAGTGGAATCTTATTATTTCAGTCTTCAAATTAGAATCTTTTAGTAATTATATTTCAAATGAGTTAAAGTTTGTTCTGTCATGTTGTAGTTTATGAAAAGTAAATATGTTAGTAAGCAAATAAAGAATTTAAGACCTAAATAGAAAATGTTTAACCCATTTGAGAAAAAAGATACAGTGTAAATAATAAGTGTGATCCAATCTTTAGACGAAAATGATGCCCTTTATAAATAAAGTTCTAAGCCATCAATATGGGCTTCCTTGGTGGCGCAGTGGTTGAGAATCTGCCTGCCAATGCAGGGGACATGGGTTCGAGCCCTGGTCTGGGAGGATCCCACATGCCGCGGAGAAACTGGGCCCGTGAGCCACAACTACTGAGCCTGCGCGTCTGGAGCCTGTGCTCCGCAACAAGAGAGGCCGCGACAGTGAGAGGCCCACGCACCGCGATGAAGAGTGGCCCCCGCTTGCTGCAACTGGAGAAAGCCCTCGCGCAGAAACGAAGACCCAACACAGCCAAAAATAAATAAATAAATTTATTTTAAAAAAATAATAATAAAGTTCTATCTTCTCAAGATGGTATTCTACTAGGAAATATTATCAAAATAGAAACTTCAAATTAGTGAATATTCCTCAAAAAATAATAGATTACATTCCTTAAATATATTCAGTGATCCCTGTTTTTGTTGATTTACATTGGTTATCTTCTTTTGGCTTTCTTTTTTCTCCTTTTTTAATTAATTAATTTATTTTTGGCTGTATTGGGTCTTCGTTGCTGCACATGGGCTTTCTCTAGCTGTGGCGAGCAGGGGTTACTCTTCGTTGTGGTGCACGGGCTTCTCATTGTGGTGGCTTCTCTTGTTGTGGAGCATGGGCTATAGGCGTGTGGGCTTCAGTAGTTGTGGCATGCACACTCAGTAGTTGTGGCCCACAGGCTCTAGAGCACAGGCTCAGTAGTTGTGGCACATGGGCCTAGTTGCTAAATGGCATGTGGGATCTTCCCAGACCAGGGCTCGAACCCATGTCCCCTGCATAGGCAGATTCTTAACCACTGCTCCACCAGGGAAGCTCCCTTCTTTTGGCTTTTCATGTGACTCTGAATAAATGGTGTTTTGCTGTGTTTAATCCTCTGCATTCTGGAATACAATCTGAATGACAGAACTTTAAAAGACCTTTATAAAAGGCATGACTCCAAACTCTGCAGGATTCCTGAAGTGAGCTCTCTAAAAAGAGGGCTTGTTTGCCTAGCATAAAGCTTGTTCCACAGTAGGTCCATACATCTTTGTAATTGAACAAATGAATGAATAAAGCAATGAGTCCTCCTCGTCCCTGCTTCTGCTAAATGCAGTTCATGGATCCCTGTGACATTGAGGGTTCTGAGTCCTCTGAAACAAATCTCTGCTGTTCTACTTGGAAGTAAGTGGGGTGGGTAGAGACAATGGGAAGAGTCTGCCCTTAACGGGAAAGTAATTATTCTCTGTTCAGATCAGCCCATGAGTGATTAGAACCAGTTTACTCCTGTCCTGCAGGGTGTGCTGCACTCACTGCATCTACAGGTGAACTGTTTTCCATAGAAAGTCAATAATGGTGACAC